GAGCGCACCAACACCTTCGCTGAGCTGATAGCCTAATAGGAGGACTGTCAACCTATCAATCGGGACCTGCGGGCATGAAACGCAGCGTCCCCAGGCAAAAGGGACGTCAGTACGAATAAAGTACTGCGTATGTAAGGCAGGAAAGCATAAATAAGAACAGTAATGTAAAGAGAGATAGAGGAGATACAACCTGTAACATCTGAGTGCCTCTGGGGGCTACTGACATGAAATGCATAATACATATATATACATAAACTTTTAAAAACATACGCCTCTGTGGGCATCATCATCATCATATCATACCCGGCCTCAAAGAGGACTCGGTAAAAACGTACCCGGCCATCATAAGGCTCGGTAGAATCTTACCCGGCCACGTGGAGCTCGGTAAACCCAACTGATCAGTGGTTGCACAATAGGTGCCATACCCGGCCGACTATAGCGCGGCTCGGTAGAGTAAAGTAGATACATATATAATGCATGCTGGACTCATGGAATCACGTTCTAAACCTTTTAGAGTGACATAAGGTCATTGCACCATCGGTTAACATTATGGACATCATACCATCAATATGAACTTCACTAGGACTCAAGGATCATATATGCTTTCTTGGAATAACTTTGTAAGGAAAGAATAACATGGACAACCTTGGTTGCTAGGAGTAGATTCATTATGAAATAGCGTATCGTTTATATTCGTTTCACTTTAGATCATGCCAAAAGAATGAAGGAAGAGCCTTAACATACCTTAAACATGTTGAGTCCTTAATACCTTCCAAGTAACTCTTCAAACAAGTCAACTCGATCTATCATAGCATAAGGAGATTCAAAATCAGTGTTGAACAAAGGCTAAGTCTGTAACTTAAGCTAGTAGCTCGTCTACGTAAATTCGGGCAGCATCTCCCTTGTAACAAGGGCCTCCTCCAATACCATATACCAACAACAACAGCCAGGGAAGTCCAGCAACCTATAAATATCAATAACAAGACACCATATAACAACAACAAGTCACAACTACTTCACGACGAGCGGCAAGCTCCGATTGGAATCCGTATAACCCATATCACCCCTTATAGACTTCTTACATTAATTTAACAGTATCATTAACATGATAATGAAGTCATTCATCAATGATTCCATCCTTATACCATATATTTATAACAAAGGAAACAATCCTCAACTCCAACTATCTTCAATTAGTAGCTTTATTCACTAGTTGACGTCTACTCCATCCATTTAACTTAATCAACATCAAGATAACCTTAAGCACATGCAAGAAGACAATACACACAACTCCTATAGTAACTTCAAGTCGAAATCCAAGTTATATTCAGCTCACAACAACCCTCAATAGCAATACAACACCATAGAAGTGACTTAAGCTAATCCAAGTACTATCTTGTAGTTTATCATCCTAACAACTTAACCAACATACAAGCAAGCTTAATCACAATTAGTAGGCTGTTATACTCACCTTAGACAGCAGCAACAACTTGGAATTTCATCCAAATACAGCCCACAACAATCCTCAATGACAACACAACCTCAAAGAGGTGTTGTTCTTCACTAGAGCTAAGTTTTGATGTTGAGATATGGTGTAATCACTTTGGAATCACTTCAAACACTTGTGGAATCTGTTTAGAAGGGTTAGGAGAAGTTTGGAGACGAAGTTGAGTTGAAAATAAGTGAAAAATAGGCGTCCAAATCGTTTATAAAGTGAAGTAGGTCGACCACCGCCTAAGTGGGTCCCATTGGGAGCTGCTTGCGCGGTCTCGCGAAAATGCGAATATCTCTCTACTCCGATGTCGTATTGACGAATGGTTTAATGCGTTGGAAACTAGACTCGTAGATCTTCAATTTGATATGTTGATCATCCATTTATGCCTAGTATATTGGGAGAAAAGTGCATCTACATTTGACCTAAATTTCAGCACATTATATATGCAACTTGTGATGATCTTTGCTAACTTTTGTTCCATAACTCGTTTGACTTAAAAACATAACACAGGACTATCATACGACTACAATAAATCATAAATTAACCTCCTCATCATGTTAATCACCCTAGTCTCACCCCAAAACAATATGTTATAACATTCCAAACTTGTCGATTTTCGACGAAACTTATTTTCTTCAATTCGTTTAGCTTCTAAGCCTTCAAACGCTCTTGCTACTTGGTATTAATGATCTTAAAAATTTGTAACCTCCACGTTAACATGATGAACTAACTTTGTAAACTTTTCAAAGATGATTCCATTTCTGAGCTTACATTAATTGACTTATGTCGTACTCTTACGTACGAAAACATGGGGTGTAACAATATGCATAATGATGACGCATGCGAACGCTGATGTCACCCAAGGGAGAGTGTTTTACTACAACTTTCTGACAGGTATGATTACCGTCTCCCGCCGGTCACGTCATAACAGGTCAATTAGTCAAACTCTCTCCGACGGAAGCATTGATTCCGCCTATCAAGGACGAATCTCGTTGCGACCCCGACAAGCGGAGGGACTAACTGTATATGGTCAAATTTGACCAACCACGTCCCATCATCAACATGACCGACCACTGAATGTTTATGAGCCGATATAAGGGGACGACCCAGGGGTAAGAGGAAAAACGACCTCGACTTGTCATCGGCTCTGCTATAGAATATACTGATTTTGTCGTTCCAAGGACGAAGGTTGGATCCCCCCATTATATAAAGGGGATCTAAGCTTTGTAATAGAGGAGGATTTTTCAATATACAAACGGATTCTCTCTCTCATCTTTATCTCCCTGTTACTCTCTCTCTCTCTCTCTCTTTGAACATTATTACTGTTCTGATTGTTGCGTTGATCCTAGGGTTTATTATCTTCGATTACGATTTACCCTCTCATCTCTTTTGATTGATTTGCTCAAGAGATTTCAACCTCTTTTGAGCCAAACAAAGTTGAACTGCGAGTTCTTGAAATTACATAAATTCCCACAGACAAGTTAGAAAATGCAAGGAAACACACGTTGACGGAGAGGTGCCTGTGTTCCCTCTTCTAAGAAGTAAGGAATAAGTAGAACGCCCACCGAGTGTAACTACTCCCACGTGATAAGATGACAAGTCAGCTTTGCTTACAAGGACTCAAGTGGGCCACATATCGCAGATGGCAAAACGACTAACCGACAAATTCTCTTTTCTTTGCAGAGTAGTAACAAAGACTGGAATTTTCCTCGAGTGATACATTGCTATACAAACCAACGTGGCGGACAAAGAAGTAGGTTTCACATTCTATGGCATATGCAGAGTAATAAATACTCCAAATTTCCAACTGACACTTTCTTTCTCCTTCTCCTATATACTTGCCCCTGTTTTTTAATATTATAATGGCAGTTGCCATCATAATTTGTCGAATAAAGAGAACATTAGTGGCAATTGTAAAGCACAAATTGTCAGCCCCATTTCCACTTCCAACCAAGAGGTTGTGAGTTCGAGTCTCCCCAAGAGCAAGGTGGGAAGTTCTTGGAGGGAAGGATGCCGGGAGTCTATTTGAAAATAACCTCTCTACCCCAGGATAGGGGTAAGGTCTGCGTACACACTATCCTCCCAGACCCCACTAAGTGAGATTATACTGGGTTGTTGTTGTTGTATTTCCACTGCATGAAGACTATCGTGATTTGATGGCCCCACTTGAATTTGTCATTTCACACTATCATTTGCAATTTAGATTTACACGTCTGCACATATAAGATTAAGCTATTACTAATCGGCCCCGCTAAATTTTATCATCTCACATTTCTCTTATTAAAAATGGCTATACTAATTCATTTTATATTGATAACAATGGCAGCTGCAAACAAATTCGAAGATCAAGGGTGCTTCAAAATTTTCCCTTTCAAAAACATTAAATGCACGCCAGTGTTGGTTGGCCATTAACATCTTCGAACCGTCGCTGCCCCTCTATAAATATGGGGCATCTTCCTTTAGTAAATAACTTTACCATTCTTCAATCTCTTCCAATTTTCATTTCTTCAATCACTTGTCTCCTCCACCTCTTTAAACGCCGTAAAATATCAATATCTAGCCGAAAAAACTACATTCCCGCTCACCCGTATTTCTTACCTTACAATCATGGTCAAAACTTCCAGTGGTCCCTAAAAAATATAAAGTATCCTCCTCCTCTGCCTCCCGGACGGCCAAACCGGTGGTGCTACCGACACTTGAAGAGATCACCCCTGGTGATTGCATCATCAAGAAGGACTTTAATATCGAGAATCCTCCAAATGTCGAGGGCTAATACGAGCACGTGTCACGATGTATTAGCCTGATAACCAAGCAGCTCGTCAAGAATGTAAGGAAGGATTGTCGATGGGGGGACGAGGTCATGATTCATATCCTGAAGCCTGATGAAAGCATAACTACCCATAAGGAGGGGGTTGTGAGTATTTACACTTACCCCTTCACATTGGGCCCTCTCGATCCGGTGGTGGTCAACTTCTGCAAGACGTACGAAGTCACCCTCGGCCAAATCCACACTTCCTTCTGGTGTATCGTGATCATGTTGCGATACTTCTCTGAGAAGGCCGAAGGTTTAGAATTCACCCTCAGCCACCTAGTTCGGTTGTATCGACCCTAGTTATTCCGAGGGCTCATCAAGCTGCAGTGTTGAACCACGAAGTCCTTCTTCGCCAGTACTGATGAAACCAAAGATCGAGGCTATATGAGCCGATTTGTTAGATTTAGGACTCCAGACATCATCCCGAAGAAAAAATGCCGTTCCTCGAGGGATGGAATTTCAACCGTAAGTGGAGTCCGCATTTTTCTTTATATCTATTCTTGTTCTTTCATTTTTCATAGCTTACTCATCTTTCTTTTGGCAGCCGACGCTTGGGCGCCCTTGGCGGTGCTTGATCTCGAGGCTTGGGTCAGGAAACTAGCTGCCACATCCTTTTATGACAATCGTAAGTGGCGTGAATTGGCGAAGGGCCAATAGGAGGCCAAGAACCATGACCTTGGAGATGCGTCCAAGATGAGGCTGGCCCCGCCCGAGGAAACGACCAAGCCTTCGAATCTAAAGCCCAAGAAGGATAATAAAAGAAAGAGGGTATTAGAGCCCAAAGACCCCCAAGACAAGAAAACCTCCACTCGAAGCCTGCGGAAAAAGTTTGCTCAAACGGGCACAGACTCAGCCCATGACTCCCCGGATGGTGAGGAACATGATGAGGAACTAACAGAGCTAGTGACTCGGATCGGGAGGTTAGTCGAGGCCGCCAAGCCTTCCAAACTAGAAAATCCACCTTGTGGTGAGGATGCCCGAAGGGAAGAGACGGGCAAGGCCCTCATATCCCCGGAGGTTGAGATTGTCCCTCCGTCTTCAACAACTATGCCAGAGGGGGTGAATGCTGAAGCCCCCGAGGTTAATGAGAACGCCCCGAGTGAAGAGCTCGGGATCGTGACAATATGTCATTCTCTTTCATTGCCAACTTATTCTAGGGAGGCCATCGAGGAAGCTAACACTTTGCATATGCCCGACCCAAGTAAGGTCATCGCGGACTATCCTTTCCAGAGTTGCTATGCTAGAGTTGAGGGTTTCGATGACTTCAATGATGCACCATCCATTTTGAAGAGGCCCAGCGTCTCTTTACCCGGGTAACGACCTTCCGTTTAACATTGTCATTTTTTCTTTCTTCTCTTTCGGCTGACGTGCTTTTATTTCATGTGTAGGCCGCTGCAAAGTTTAGAGTTGAGCTGAGCCAATGTGAGGCCGAGCTCAAGAAGATTTCAAGCGAAGAAAAGGCCTTGAGGCTTCTCTGCGGTCAGAAAGAAGAGGAGCTTAAGGATCTCCGAGCAGCATTGGCTAAATCTCGAAAAAGCGAATCCGAGCTGGACGAGCAGGTAACTTAGATTTTAACCGAGTACGGCCTCCTTGGCCCTGCTTCAGGGGCTAATTCTTTAACACCTCAACTGCAGCAATAACAACAACAACAACTAATTATAATCCTACAAGTGGGGTCTGGGGGGGCTAATATGTATACAGACCTTACCCCTACCCTGATGGGCAGAGAGGCTGTTTCCAGGAGACCCTTGGCTAAAGAAAGCAACAAGAGACGATATATTAGTACTATCAATAGACTCATAATAAAATAACATAAAATACATAACATAACATAAAATAACAAAATAACAGCAATATAAGAAATATAGGAAATACGAAAAAGAAAAGGAAAAGGATGGAAGGTATACTAATATCCAACAGATAAAGCCCTACATCAGTAGCTAATCAGTAGCATCCTAAGACTAACTCCTAACTGGCTAGTCTCAATCTAGTGCGCTCTAGAAATATCCACAACTTCCCCCTAACCTACAACCTTAATGCTCGACCTCCATAATTCCCTGTCAAGGGCCATTTCCTAATTAATTCTAAGTCGCGCCATGTCCTGCTTGATCACCTCTCCCCAAAAATTCTTATGTCTCCCTCTACCTCTCCTCGTGCCCACCACAGCCAGTCGCTCACACCTTCTCACTGGTGCATCAGTGCTCCTCCCCTAAATGTGCCCGAACCATCTGAGTCTTGCTTCCCGCATCTTGTCCGCCATGGGGGCCACGCCTACCTTCTCTCGAATATCTTCATTCCTAATCTTATCCATCCTTGTATGCCCGCACATCCACCTCAACATCCTCATCTCTGCTACTTCCATCTTCTGGATGTGTGAGTTCCTAACCGGCAAACACTCGGTCCCATACAACATGGAAGGCCTAACCACTGCTCTATAAAACTTACCTTTTAGTAATGGTGGCACTTTCTTGTCACACAGGACTCCCGTCGCTAACCTCCACTTCATCCACCCCACCCCTATACGGTCTGTGACATCCTCGTTGATCTCCCTGATCCACTAAATAACTGACCCAAGGTACTTGAAACTACCCCTCTTAGGGATGACTTGAGAGTCAAGCCTCACTTCCACTCCCCCTTCCGTCGACTCGACCCCGAATTTGCACTCGAGGTATTTCGTATTCGTCCTGCTCAACCTGAAACCTTTAGACTCCCTCTAGCCTCTCGTTGATGCCACATCGTGCCTCGTCAATTAGGACTATGTCATCAGCAAATAGCATGCACCATGGCACCTCCCCTTGAATATGATGCGTTATGGCATCCATCACCAGGGCAAATAGGAAAGGGCTGAACGCAGACCCTTGGTCCAACCCTATAACAACAAAAAAATGCTCGAAGTCACCTCCTATTGTCCTAAACCGAGTCTTAGCTCCATCATACATGTCTTTAATTGCCCTAATGTAGGCAACCGGGACCCTTTTAACCCCTAAGCAGCTCCATAAGACCTCCCTAGGAACCCTGTCGTACGCTTTCTCTAGATCGATAAACACCATGTGAAGATCCTTCTTCTTATCCCTGTATTGTTCCACCATCCTCCTAATAAGGCGGATATCTTTTGTGGTAGATCGCCCCGGAGATTAACATATCTAGAAGATTAATACCTCAACTGCAGCAAAAGCTAAAAATGATTGGGTAGATCTGGGGCGAGGTGAATCAGGTTCGGGGTGATTGTCATCAGTGGAAGAGGAGCATGGATTAACTTGCTGCTGATAAGGAAGCTATTACGGCCCAACTGGTCTCGGCTGAGGCTAAGCTCCGAGATCTTGAAGCGAAGGGCCTAGCTCAGGCTATAAAAATTGAGGGGATGGAGGCCGAACTAGCTAAATCCCGAACAGAAGTTGTGCAAGCTAAAGATGAGGCTGCACAAACCAAGGCCAAAGATGAGAGGATGAAGATTGCGACCGATAAATCTATTTTTATATACACAAGAGAAGTCGTGGCCGTTCAAGCTGAGTTGAGAGCAGCCTCCAACCAAGCAAAATGGAGCAGTGAATTGGCTAAGTGTCAAGCCTAGAGGAAGACTCTCGAGAAGTTCGTGCTCGAGGATTTGACCTTGCCGAGGAGAAAGGGAAAGCACAAGCACGGGAAACCGATGCTAGATTTCTTGTCTCCTCTGATGATGAGGATGTGATGAGTGGCTCCGAGGACGAGGAAGGTGAAGAAGATGCTTCTAAAGGGGAAGAGGATCCAGAAGATAAAGCTACCGGAGATGAAGACGCCACTCCCCGGGACCTGGCCCCGAAAATGGATTAGGTTTCTATTTTTGTATAAGGGTTCTTCGTTGTAATATTCTTTGTGAATTTCTCAGATGAATATAAAGTAGCTTTAGGCTCTGTTCTTGATTTGTGCTGACTCTCCGTTCATAAAATTTCTGATTATTCACATGTTAAAAGTCCGAGTATTGGTTTAGACTCGCAATAAGCCTTTAGGCTTTTATTGCCCAAGATCGTACCCCTTGGGGTTTTAGATGATCCCTGAGCCAATCTTAAAGTTAAATTAATGCGAGCTTGGGGCTTTTGGGTCTGAGTTAAACGAGAATGGGGTCTCAGACTCCCAAAGGTCTTTAACCCTATATTTCTTTTTAAGCTGGCCCTTAGGATCTTGTATATCGGCCTTTAGGCTCTATTTTAGAATTAGCCCTTAGCCTCTTTTAGGTTGGCCCTTAGGCTCTTTAAATTGGATCATTTCAGCCTATAAAAATGGCTATATAGTTTTCCCCCACTTCGGGTAAAAGACTTAATGGAATTTGAGTTATGCCTTAGCATGTATTTTGTACTCGTTGGGTTTTTAGAAGGCTCGACGTATCGGAATCTTATTAGTCATTTTGTTTGTGTGGACATAATCGAATGCCTCTTAAGGGTTTTCCGAAGGCTGGTGTTATCAAAGCCCTTAGATTGTTCGAGGGATGTTTTATCAAAGACTTTAGATTGTTTGAGGGATGATTTGTCGAAGCCCTTAGATTTTTTGGGGGATGAATTTATCGAGGCTATTTATATTTTTCTTTTGCTGGGGGTAGCCTGATTTAACCGATTTTTCAATGTTTAAGGCCTTTAATTTATAGCGGAAGTCAGACGTCTCCGAGCCGCATTTTTTGGTCGTAGCCTTACATGACCGTAGTCTTTAATATGGCCGTAGCCTTCGGGTTTGTCACTTGGACTGGTTTCTTGATAACTTTCCGAACTTGTTCGAAAATTTAGTCCCCGAGTGAGTTGGCCTTGGACTTTATTTTGAGGGAGTGCCTCTTTGAGGTCTTATATTAACTGTCAGTGACAGTCCCCGGGTATTTCGGGGTGCTTTGGCCCTTGAGCCGCCTCCCGTAGGATTGCAAGTGTAGAGTTCGTATGAGATACAAAGTGTGTTTGATGTAACCAGGATTCTTCTTTAAATAGTTAATACATGCGTACATGTTTTTCCATCAGGGCTCGATAATTCTATATGGACACGGTTCATTTGACCATTTGGCCCATTACAAAGTTCTCCTACCGAGGCCCTCTTAGGCGTGAAATATTTTTCTCAAAGTTATAATTTCCGAGGGTGATGCCCCCCAGTATTCGAGTTTGATCGAAGAGAAGCCTTGAATACTTGTTGAGTGACCCTTAGGTAGCATATAGGTGTTAACTCGTTAAAAACCTTGCTGGTAAAACCCATTTGGGATAAAACCCGATCCAAGGAAAAAAGAGTACAACGCATGCTTTCAAACCGAAGGTCTTCGAGATCAACAGTAATATCGCTTGAGCATTGATATATTCTAATTATTTGGTAGTTTCTCACCTTCCATTGTGCTGATTTTTTAGGATCCTTTTCCTACGACTCCAAGGGCACAGTACGGTCGTTCCCAATTGTGACCTACTTTCCATTCGTTTGGGTCTCGAGTGTTAAGGGTAACTTTCCTCAGTACTAAGTCCCCGACTTTGAAGTATCGAAGGTTTGTCTTTCTATTATAATACCTTTTGATTCTCTATTTTTGCACGGCCATTCGTATTAATGCTACCTCACGTTATTCATCAAGTAGCTCCAGAGTTGTGTTCATTGCTTCATGGTTTGAACTTTCGGTGGCATGTTGAAACCTTACACTAGGCTCTCCGACTTCGACTGGGATTAAATCTTCGGACCCATATACCAAAGAAAACGGGGTCACCCCAAGCTTCACTTCGATATTGTCCGATATGCCTATAATACCTCGGGCAACACCTCTCTCCATTTCCCCTTTGCATCATCTAGCCTTTTCTTCAAGTTTGGAATAATGGTTTTGTTGGTGGACTCAGTCTGCCCATTTGCACTTGGGTGGTAAGGTGCTGATAGGATCCTTTTGATTTTATGGTCTTCGAGGAATTTTGTCGCTTTGCTGCCTATGAATTGTTTTCCATTGTCATATGTTATTTCAGCGGGTATCCCGAACTGGCATATGATGTGATCCCATATGAAGTCGATGACTTCTTTTTCTCTTACCTTCTCGAAGGCCTGCGCTTCAATCCATTTTGAAAAGTAGTTAGTCATATATAAAATGAATCTAGATTTACCTGGCGCCATTGGTAGGGGGCCGACGATGTCTATCCCCCCATCATGAATGACCATGGGGATAGGACCGAGTGGAGTTGTTCACCAGGTTGATGAATTATTGGTGCAAATCTCTAGCATTTGTCACATTTCCTAACGAACTCCTTGGTATCCTTTTCCATGCTATCCAATTATATCCTGCTCTGATCACCTTGCGAACCAGAGAGTCTGCACCAGAATGGTTCTTATAGGGGCCCTCGTGGATTTCCCATAGCATATAGTCTGTATCCCCGGGCCATAAGAATACTGCCAGTGGTCCATCAAAGGTTCTTCTGTATAACGTTCCATTTTCATCGAGCAAGAATCGGTCCGCTTTTGACTCTTTTGGGTCCGCGATAAGCTTCCCATGTTTTAAATAATCGATGTACTTATTCCTCCAATCCCATGATAAGCTTGTCGAGTTAATCTCATCATGGCCTTCTTCGATTACTGACTTCGATAGCTGGATGACAGCCCCCGGGACGATATCATCTTATTCGACCGACAATCCTAAGTTTGCTAGTGCATCGGCCTCGCTGTTCTGTTCACGGGGTACATGGTCTAGTGTCCATTCCTTGAAGCGGTGCAGTATTATTTGAAGTCTGTCTAAGTACCTCTACATTCGATCATCTAGAACATTGAAGCTTCAGTTTACATGGTTTACTACCAAAAGGGAATCACATTTTGCCTCGATGACCTCTGCTTCAAGGCCCTTAGCTAGTTCAAGACCCGCGATCATGTCTTCATACTCGGCCTCATTGTTAGTCAATTTAGAAGTTTTGATAGATTGTCTAAAAACACGACCCGTAGGTGGTTTCAAAATGATATCGAGCCCGGACCCTTTCACATTTGAGGCACCATATGTGAAGACGGTCCAAACCCCCGTCGATGTACCTGTTTTTAACAAGAGTTCTTTTTTTACTTCGGGTACGAGGGCAGGTGTGAAGACAGCCACGAAGTCTGCCTAAATTTGATACTTGATGGACGTCCGAGGTTGATATTTGATATCATATCCCCCAAGTTCGATGACCCACTTGGCCAATCTGCCCGATAATTCGGGCTTATGCAGGACATTTCGAAGTGGATATATAGTTGATACATGACCGAGGCCATCATTACACCACTACAAAGTGGAAAGAGTGGTCGAAAAAGCTTTTACCCGAGACGGTCGGGATCGAATCCACAGGGAGCTATAAGTGGGAATTGGATTCCTATCTAAACTAGAAATGCGTAGTGCTCTTAATTGCACTTCCAATATAGTTGGTCTTTTGATTACTTCTAATATTATGCTAAATTAAGCTAATAATGATTACTTGTAAGGTTTTCCAAATAGTTAAAGAGGCACTAGGGAAGTGACTTTCTCCTAGGTGAATACTTGACGGGTTCTCGAATCTAAGGCAAGGATGTCATGTTGGGGATTACGATATAACCAATGCACGAAACTTGTCACTCCATACCTCTCAGTAGTTTGAGTGATTTTGCCCGATTGACTTTCTTAAGACCTATTGGGTATGATAATTGTGCAAGCAATTTAGGTTCAAGTCGAGTATTACTATCTCTAGGTTTAACCCTTTTAATTGGGGCTATTAATCTCTTGAATACGCCCCAATTCCTTGTTGGATTAATTTTCCTCGACTCAAGCTCTCTTTCTCAAGAAGAGCCCAAGTCAAAAAGGCACAAATTAGTGTTTGCAACCACTAATTCGACATGGAAAACACAAATTAGTCCAAATATCAAACACCCATAAACATTCAAGCCTTAAAACTTAAGACCCATCAAATACCCACACTAGGGTAGAGCCACAACCCCAGTTAATGGGTCTAGCTACTCATAATAATGGAAGAAAACAAAGAAATGGATTAACAATAATCTATATAATTTAGTTACAAGCTAATACTTGAAGATTCAATGATAAAACCACTATATAATTACTCAAAATGGTTAAGAATAGCCGTTCACATGCTCATCCCTATGTCAGATTACAAAAGATACCCTAAAAATGTCAAAAGAAAGTATTTATACTAGGACGAATTTTCTGGACAAAAATACCCCTGACGAGTTAGTGCAGTCCGCACAAAATGCACCGCGGACCGCAATGAGACTTTTTAGCTTGATAATGCCTTCTCTGAATCTGGCCAATGCGGGCCACATAAAATGCACCGCGGCCGCGGTGGCATCTGTTGCGGTCTGCACAAAAAGGACCACGCACCGCATTGGCCTTCATCTTCAAACAACTAACTCTCTGAACCCCCATCCCTGCGGACCGCCCAAAATGGGTTGCGGCCGCAAAGAGGCCATTGCGACTACACTAAATCCTCCACGGTCCGCATTACCTTAGGCTCCAAAATTGCACCTCTCTAAATCTCCTCACTGCGGACCGCACTAAATGGATTGCGGCCGAATTGTATCTGTTTTATCTGTGCTTGGACTTGTTCTTGGTACTTGTGAAGGTTTCACTCCTTTTTGAGCTGGTTTTGACTAATTGTCACCTTTTTGACCAAACCCTGCAATAAAGTACAACATGTAAGCCTTTGGGACTACTTTGTACACATCTAAATCAAAACTCAAGTAAAAACGGGTGTGTAAAATGAACTAGAATCCCTAGTTATCAACTCTCCCAAACTCAAGCTTTTGCTTGTCCTCAAGCAAAACAAATAAGAACCACCTCTTAAGAGTAAATCCATGAAAATTCAGCTGACCTAATGTGACCTCATATA